GGAGATGATCCAAATAAGTTGTCTCTTTCTTATAAGCTATTCGAATGAAAAACAACATTAAACTAGTATATTAGATTTTGACAGGTTTTGATATTGCTGATCATGTAAGGATGGTTTCTGATCTTGTAAGGATGGTTTCTGATCATGTAAGAATGGTTTTTGATCATGTAAGGATGGTTTCTGATCATGAAAGGATGGTTTCTGATCATGTAAGGCTGGGTTTTTTTTGATACTACTGCAACAATACTGGAATTATTCGTGGTGTTATATACAGGTAAACTATTTTTTAAATAGTTTATAAGAAAGACTCTAAGAGCTAATTACAATAAATAATTTAGTTATAGTTTTGATTTTTCAATCTGAGAAACAATGTCGGTAAACCGTTATTGAACATTGCTTGTATACATCATGTTTTAGAAATAATCTTTAAACATTATTGGTATTGTGGTTTATCCTCCTCCGGCTAATTGCCATATAGAAGCCACATAACCAAGGCCCGCAAAGACAGGTTCGACTCCCCAAGGAACGTCATAACCCGTTATACGGACCAAGAGTAAGGTGAGTTTGGGAAGAACGAAAATATGTTAGAATGAAAGACAGAAATAGTCGAGTTAGAAAGATAGCATAGAGAAAGCGGATAGAATTGTACCCGATGTTAGAAGGTGCTATAACGTACTGTTAGTTAGGTTAACCTAAGTAAAATACGCCGACAAAGTTATGATTGGAGTTCACTTAACATGAACTATTCCTCAACTTTCATAATCCTCTAAGTATATTTAAACCTTAACTAACCATTACGATCTTTAAACATTATTTAGCAGTTACCATAGACAAAACCACAAGGTCTGACGATGTACTCTTTAAAGGTTCGAAAATTAAGTGGAATGATGTTGATGTGGAAAACTGTGTCATCACTCATTTCAATTGTGGTTTAAAGAACATTAATTAAGTTAAAGAACAAGCAGACGAGGCAATCTAACCGTTAAAATGTATAAGTTTTAATGTAATAAATGTATTAATTACTTATCGATAAAATCAAGTTGATTGAACTACGGTTTTACAAGGATCGAGACGCAGATTTTTACTATTTTTATCAAAAAATGAAATTAAATATAATCTTATAATATTTCATTTTAAACATTTGAGAGAAAAAAAAAAAATATTTTGTAAAATATGAACACCCTTAACACACATATTAGTTTAAAAACAAGTTATGTTAGAAATAATTTTATTAAAAACGATTAAATAACAATCAAAAAGAGTATAAAATGTACACATAAATTTGGTAAATGATTAAAAAAATCTGAAGATATTTAAATACAGTGAATAACTAGCAAATTTTATTTAACAATTTAACTTTTAACAATTGTTGCTACTGGGAATTGAAAACTTAACTTTTTAACAATTATTTTACACCTGAGACAAATTAATTTCTTGATTTAAATGCACGACAGAGTGAAATTAAACTTTTTTTTTTTAATGAATTTTTATTAGTAACAATTGAAAAATGCTTTTTTTTTCTTTTGTGTCTTTTTATTACAAAGTTATTTGTAATGGTTTTTGGTTTACGTGAGCTTACGTATAGTTTTTTTATTGAATGGCTAATTGACGTCTAAAAAAACGTCAATGCTACTTGCGGGACCATTTAGATCACATTCCCACAATTTAAATAAGACTTGTCAATTATGTTTTTTTACAAATGCTTTAAAATGAGCATTTTTTTAAAATTGAAACATAAACGTTGAAGTTGATTTTGGTTGTTTAATAAAAATTATATTTATATCAATACATTGCGTTTATATGTAAGTTGCTTAATTCGTAGAAATATTTTCTTTTTCTTTTCTTAAACCAAATTTGCTTTTCTTTTTTGATAATATATTTTAGATTTACAGTTTAAAAGATGACAACTCCTACACTTGGTTACTGGAGAATTAGAGGGGTATTTAGAAAAAAAAGATTTATTTAAATGTTTAAAAAAATTTATTTTAATTGTAATACTTGCTATATTAATTGTAATATTAATTGTAATGTTAATTTTAATAATATAAGGACTACTCTGACTTTTTGTAAACACTTTTTAAAGCACGTTTTGTAGGCCCCTTCAGTTAATGTCTATAAGTTCCTTTTAAGTCGAGCACCTCAAATAGGAGACTTAGAGGGCAAAGTGCGGTATTCCCTAAATAAGTTAAGGATTAAATTTAATAAATGTTAAAATAATATAAAATGCATAATTATCTATAAATTGAAACTAAAATGTTTTTTTATTGCAAGTTTTCGTTTTTAAAGCTCTACTTACAACGCACTTAAGGGGTAATCAAATAAATTGTCTGTTATCAATTACATTCCCGTTTGGGAACGCTGTTAATTAAAAGTTTTTAACATAAAAAAATTAATTAAAAATTAAAGTTCCAGAAAAGTATAACCATCGTCAACGAAACTTTGTTTTAGCTCGCTCAGCCAATTCGTTTACTACTTGGCTATACAAAAACAGAATTTGAAGACAAGATGTATGATGTTGGAGATGGTAAAAAAATATTTTTTTGTTATTACTATACAGAGGTTGCAAAAGCTTTTATGATGTTTTAGAAAAATAATTACAGTTTTAGGCAACCTAGCAAACATTTTATAGCGAAATTCCAGTGGACCTATCCATCCAGTCGGCGTAACGTCACTCCGTATTAAAAGTATTGTCATAAAATTTACCATCTTGAATTGGGGGAAAATAAACTAAGAAATCTATTGCTGTTTGTTGAGTTAATTTTTTTTTTTAAATCCTAAAAATTGTTGTGCAGTTGGTTTCACTAACAAAATAAAATTTAAAAAAAATCATAACTTGAGTCTTCCTAAAGATAAAGTACTTAAAAGAAAATGGTTGAATACAATAAATCGTGTTGTAGATAGTAGGGCATGCAGCAAGCAATGGTTTCCTAAAATCTTGTAATGTTTATGTTTGTTCGGCACACTTTTTTACTAGTAGTTTACTTTTAATTTGCATCTGGTTAATTAATATCAAAATATCAGTACTTTTTATAGCCTAAAATAACTAAAAAAATATGTAGGAAAAACAGAAATGTAAGGCGTCGATTTATTTAAACAGAAACCTAAAAGTATGTAAAAATAAAGATAAAATCACCTAAAATACTTATATTTTGCAGACATCTATTCGCTATTTCTTTTTATTAACTTTTAAAGTAATTGTAGGACAAAGTTTTTGTTAAGTAATGTTTTCTTAACTTTGTTTCAATATGGTTACTTCAATATGGTTACTTTTGATTTTGCGATATAGTCACGTGATTTCGACTAGATGGATACGGAAATTTTGAGCGGTCCACTTTAGTTTTGCTCATCGCTCACTTGGTATAATCGGACTATTAGTGACAGCCGCCAAAAGTGATTAGCCGATGACCCAGTGGATGTGCGTCGTCCGGAGGTAAGACGTATGACGTCCGATGGACGTCCCCCGGACGATGCATGCCCACTGGGGACCTCTGATTCAAATATGTAGTCTATTTTCTAAGAGAATAGATTTTATTTCCAAGAGATTACAAGAAACATATAAATAGATTACTCTATTTATATGTTTACATATTTAAATCAGAGGTAACTATTTGAGAACTTTTATTAACAAAGTTAGGGTTTAAGTTAGGTAAATGTAGGATTTTTTGGTGTTTGAGATAAACTTCCAATATGGAGCAAATTCCAAATCTCCAAACTCTATTTATATGTTTGTACTTATTAAATAAGAATTATTTAAAAAAATGCGATGGTTGGAATCTGGAGTTTGCTCAATGTCTTGAAGTAACACCAAAAAAATGCTGAACTCGACCCTGAACATTGATCTTAAAGCTTTAAAACTTCCTAATCACGGCTTTGTCAAATTCTTTATGTTTTACAAATGCTGTTAGCTTCTTTTATTATGAACGATGGATTAAAGCTTAAAATCAAATTCTATTTTAATTTTTTTTTTACATTTATTTATTTTAAAGCACCAACTTATGATCGATCAGCATGGACAGACGTAAAATATACACTCGGGTTAGATTTACCAAACGTAAGTTCGACTTATTTATACTTAACTATTTAGTTTCAAAAAATTGTTAACGCTGTGTATTTAAAAAAGTTCAATAAGGATACATCTACAGCAGGTAGAATTTTATCTATTTGATAAGTTTAATGGTTGCAGAAATAGGACATAACTACTATAATTACAATTATAGTATTATAGTTATTAAGCTGGGTGAATAAAAACAAGCAATTGCTTTTACTCAGTAATTCGTCAGCTTTACGTGAATAAAAACTTATAGAAATTTTCTAAAGTTTTTATTCACGTGAAGCTAACCAGTTACTGAGTAAAAGCATTTGCTTATTTTTATTCTATTGGAAATGTAATAATCCATAGAAGAAAATTAAATACGCGTAAATATCTCGCCATTTTAACTGACAAATTGCAGTTTCAAAAGAAATTTTTTTAATTACTGAAATAATTATAACATCTTTTCGTTATTTAAAATTCTTTTTTATAGTATTAAAGTTTATTAGTTATTTTTAATATTAATTTATTTTACATTTTGTTTAGTTGCCTTATTTTATTGATGGCGATATTAAATTAACCATGAGCAACGCTGTAAGTAATCTTTTTAAAAAATTGATTTTATTTTAGCGTTGAGCTTTTTTTATACAAGTATTATGATTTCTACCACGTTTTTATTAGCTTTCTTGTTTGTTTGTTTGTCCGGGTGGAATTTTGCAACTCAATTTTAACCCACTTTTCGATTAGCTAGAGCTCTGAAACTTTTACTATAGCTCAGAACCCGATGACAATGCAATATTATACTACTTTTACCATGATTTGCCGAGTTTCTTGAACAATTTCAGCAAAATAAAATTTATTATGGCGAAACTTTTGGAGGCGCCGCCGCAATTTGACGCGTCGCTTTAAATAAAAAATTTTCGAACCAAAAAACCATGAAATAAATGAAAAACGTGGTGCGCATTTAACGAAAAAAAAAGAACAGAAGAAGGAAGCAATAGTTAAAGTAATTAAGGACGATGATGATCATTTAAAGTGACAAGATGCGCACCACGTTTTCGTTTAAAATTTTACAAATATTATCGACTCAATTAATTTTCAAAAATTTCTATAGCAACAAGAGAAAATTATTTTCTACTTTTTAGTTCATTACAAAAACGTGGTTTTATAAAAAGTTTTTTTATTTGTTATATTATTGTTGAAAAACATTAAACTTCAAATAAACGGTTTGCATAATTTTTGCATATTGTTTGATTATAATAGATTCTTCGTTATATTGCAAGAAAGAACAACATGGGTAATTAATCTTTTAATTAGTTAAATACTGTCAGACCCGTAGGGACAAAAATTATTATTATTTATTTTATTTTATTTTATTTTTTTTTGGGGGGGGGGGAAGCAGTGCTGGATTAAGAGGCACCGAAATAGTAAAGAACGTTTTTATTTAGTTATTTTATCAGCCAATTTTTTCAAAATTATTGGGGATGGGGGGCAAATGCCTCTGTTACCCCCCTTGCCCCGGTTGCTACGGGCCTGACTGTTATACTTATTTACTGAAAAATTACAGAATTATACTTATATACAGGAATATTACCATTTATAATAACACAATAACTTAACTGTTTTTTAGTAAAATATTTTTATTTTCCCTTTTTTTTTTTAGTTGGAAACACAGAGCACGAGATTTGTAGAGTGGATATGATGGAGAATGAGGTTAAGATATGTTATTGTTTATTAAGTCACTATATTAAACTACTTTTTGTTCGTATTATATGTTATTGTTATTACTAAAATTATAGTTATTGACGTAGTAAATATCAATAAGTACTACAAAAAACCATTCAGCATATAGGTATTAAAAACTTTATTTTAAAAATGTAATGGTTAATTGGTATATATCCACTTTGTTAAAAAAGTAAAATCATGGTAAACAAAAAAAAAATTATTTTTGATTTTTGAAAATTTGATAAATGATAAATCTCCCGAAATTTACCGACATCAAAAATTTTCGGGAAATTTTCATAACTAGATATATTGCTAACGATTTAAATAAACTAATTATTTGATGCTAATAATTGAGCTAGCAAAAGTATCGTTTTGATTTAATTCATTTTAAAATTATTTTTTATAAATGCTTTCGTGATTTAGTTTTTAAAGTAAGTTATTCGTATCTTGGATTGTAAATTATAAAACCGACATAAAGTTAGTTAGGGCCGTAGTGATATATGATTATTATGTCAGGGCCTAAGTTATATATGATGATAATGTGTATAACAGCTGCTCATCGGTGATAAACACGGCAAAACTTTTTTATTAAACGCTCTTTTGCGGTGTTCTTTGACAAGATCACTAATTCTTTTTCGACGCCTTAATAACTAGAGGAAAATAATGAAAAAAAAAGATTGATTATAAATATCAATATAACTTAATACATTGTAAATAAATGCATTATATTTAATTATAAATGCTATTATCACGGAAATTTAATACTTTTTAATTGACAATATTATTAGCAAGAAGTACAATATAAGGCAGGAACATTTCTAATAAATGTTAAAACCCTGTTATTTGCAATATAGATAAAAGAATATTTTACCAGTCGTAAATTAATAGAGTAAATTAATAAAAAATAATGGAGCTTTTTTTAGTTATTGTTTTTTATACAGCTTTTAAGACATTAATGTTTCATATTTATTTCAGTTAATGGACTTTAGAAATGCTTTTTCTTCTCTATGCTCTTCCACAAAGCTTGAGGACTTAGATGTAAGTTTTATTTTTAATTGTTTTTAAAAGGTAAATAAAATAATAATAACATTCTATATTATAATATTGTAATAATCGTAATAGTCGCAAAAACTATTTTATTTTCTAGGAAGCACTAATTATATATAAGACAAATGTTCAGACTCGCTTAAAATTGTATTCGGATTTTTTGGGTGAATCAGATTTTTTAGCTGGACAAAAGGTATAATTTTGTTAAAAATTTTAAAAATCACTCACAACAATACTTATATTAAATTAACAATTAACTAATATAAACTCTTTTTTTTCAGTTAACTTTTGTTGACTTTATTTTTTACGAGCTTCTTGACCTTCACAAGCTTTTGAAAGATAATATATTAGCACCTTTCCCTAAGTTAGAGGTATGTTTTTTTAATAGTTATTATTTGTTTATAATATTGGTTTATAATAGCATAAAAAATATAGATCGTTATGTGTAATTAAACATCCAATTTGATATGAGTACCTAGAATGGTAGTTTGAATACAGTGGGTGTATAAAATCTCCTTTTTTGCTTTGTGGAAGTAATTATATTAATAAAATTAAAACTTCATTTGAAAAAACTAAAACCCTAATCTTTTCAATTTACAATTAATTAAAGATACTTATTTGTTTTAATTCTGTCAAATAGTTTTTGACTTTGTTTTCATATTTTTGATAAAATTAAAAACTTAATTATAAATTTACTAACTATAATAAATTCGATGATTCGTATTGCGATGTTGTTTTTGTTGATTTTAAGAATTGCGATATTGTTTTTGTTGATTTTAAGAATTGCAATGTTGTTTTTGTTGATTTTAAGAATTGTGATGTTGTTTTTGTTGATTTGAAAAAAAAAATTATTAGATTTCCTACAAAGTTTCCTCTTATTCAACCAACTTAGTATCAAGAGGTTAACTAAACGTAGAAATATTGAGAAAAACACCAAGAAATATTGAGAAATGAAGAGAACGTTGATAAGCTTTAGCAAGAGGTCATAAAACAGATATCGTTTAAGATTAGTTAATTTGAATTACAAATAATTACTAAATTTTTTTGATTTTTTTTATTCTTTGTCAGCCAATACGATAGCTAAATGGTAATTATTACTATTCAAAACTGTTCCTAATAGTTTAATAACAAATTTAATAGGTAATAGTTTGATTGTGAAATCAAAGAAGAGGTACATACATACATACATTTTTTAAATATAGATATTTAAGTTATAGAGTTTAAATTAAATAAGTTAAAAGTTAACTCACCATTAAATTATCAAAAATAAATTTAGTTTAGATAAACATGTTTAAATAATTATTCTAATATTATATTTTTATTATAATTTTATTATAATAGTCTAAGTTTATTTTAATATATTTTTAGGCATTTGTGAAAAGATTTGAGGTAATGAAAAATTTTAATTTTTAATATTAAGCAAAGTATTCACTTGACTTAACTAATAAAATAATTGTGATTTGGTTTTACATTTTCAGGAATTACCAGAAATACACGAATTCATGAGTTCATAAAAACGGAAAAATGGCTGTCATTGGTGGGGAGTTACAAAATACACAATATTGTTTACTGCAATAAATTCTTATAAAATAATTTTATTATTTGTTATTAGATCACCCAAACTGGTGGCATTTTCCCTTCGACAACCCTATCCCTACTCCTCATGCCCCGTACCCTCGCCCCTCCTCCCTAAATAAATAAATAAAAGCATATTAACAACAGATATTAAAATATAAAATTTGCAAGCATGGTGGTTAAATTTTTGCGTTTTTATATACTAAAGTTAGATAGCTGGTCACTCTTAGCAAAAATAGGAGATAACTGTCCAGTCCACACCCTAGAAAACCGCAACATTCCTGTGAAAGCTTATGACATGGGATTCCAAAAATGTAAAAATTAAAATCATCTGCCTACGTCCGTGAAAGAAAATCAATTTTGAAATTTTCCTTTATTACACATATATGTAAAATTACAGCATTTCTATTTTTTGCATTTTTACAGCATTCTTTAAACACAAATACATACAATAAATAAAAAAATATTATTCTAAAGGGATAAAAAGGTACATTCTGTTCTCACATAAAGATTTCTAATGTAAAGTCAGCATAATTTATTCATAAATCTCCAATTCTATTTACTTTGTGCTCAGTGTTTTCTTCAAAGATACTTGCTGTTAAAATCAACAAGGTACGTCACAAGCCTTTTTCCATATTCTGGATAACTGATTGGGCGTTTGTACCTTGTCCAATTTGTAATAAAGCAATGGTGCATTGCTTCTGTTGTTTGTTCGCTATAAATACTAAGTGGCATCTTTTTCCTCAGGATAAATTCCTTTATATGGAAAAACACAGCATGTGTTTTTGGTGTGACAGTTCCAATTGGCACAATTGCAAGGAAAGAAGCTCAAAACTCATCAATTTTTTCTCCAAACTGACTGTGCAACTTGTTGCCAAAACAGGATGATACAACATTTGCAAATTTTTGAAAAGTTTCAATGATGGGAAAAACTTGAAAAGCATTGTCTTTTTCAGCCAATGTTTGCAAAAGATCCAAGTTCTTCAGCAACTTATTGCAGGAATTTCCTTCAAATTGTCCACCATGAAAGGGTTGATGTTGTATATGCAATGCTTGAAGCCATTCATCTGCCTTGGCCATGAATCTTTTAGAATCTTAAAAAGACAATTGGCCACTCCAAGAAGTAGATGCAACTCCATTGGAGGTATTAGACCAATTATCAATGCAGAATCTTCGAGTGAAAGAACAGGCTCATCAACCACGTTTCCGAATTTCTTTGCATTTTTTGTATTTGAACCTGCTGCAGAGAACGCATGGAATGACTGCTTTAGAGAGCCAAAAGTTCTTTCAAGATTAGAACTTTCCGCTGATTACATATACATGGATGAGAGGATGAATGAGCCTGCAGACCGCACAGGATGTTAGCCGATTTCATGTCACAAGAGATAACAAAATTGACCTCTTGAATGTCGAGAAGGGAAAGAATGACTTTCACATTGTTGTAATTTTCTTGAACTCCTTCAGCCACAGCTACAAGAAGTTGTTTTTTCACTCCTGTATCCTTTGATGCTTGTGATGTAAGCAAGCATTTGCTTGGAAACTCCAAGACAGACTTTTAAAAATCCTCCACCGCCGTTGTTCCCCAATTTAATGACGTGGTTTGAAAAAATCTTCCGTGACAAAAGTAAATCTTCAATAAGACTATTGAGACTCTTGCAATGTGCAACAATGTAATTTGAAGTTGTTTTGTCCGCGTTTGTAAATGCCGCTGTGGTCTGAGTAAAGCTCTCTTCAAGATTTTTCCCAAGGTTTTGAAATTTTTAACAATGTATGGCTCCAAGACTTTGGTTGTGCTTACATTGTTGATTGTTGTTGCAAGCTTTCTGATGCCATTATTGGACAACCCTGTGTTTATTTGAACCTGAGCAAGATCTTGCGCTGTTACAACTGGGTGATCCTTGAATAGCTGTTTTGCACTTGATGGTTCTAAAACATATGAAAATTAACTTTACAGCAAATATTTTACCAAAATACTTAAATGATGTAACCATAAGTTTACCTGGAGTTATAGGCAATGCTCTCCCACCCTTGGTTTGTGAAAGTCGAACTACTCCATGTGGAGATGCATCCTTGCTTGTGATTGTTGAAGGTGCAATCTGTTCCGCAACTTTACCATCATTGGCTGCCAGAGATCTTATATTCTCTCTAAACTGTGATACAGAGCATTGACGTGGCAATCCCCTAGCAATTAGTAACAGACATTTTAAGCAACTCTTGTCAGAAATCTTTTCTTCTTTCGTGTCAGTGTCAAGAGGGTGCTTTTCAGTCAACTTTAACCGGCCAATGCAACAAATCAAGCATTCACAAGGATTTCCTCTTGTGAGTGGTTTGACAATGATAGTTTCAAAGTCAAAAAGAGATGGTAATTCACCAGGATGATCTTCATAACGTTTCCTCAGAGCAGTTCTACAAGTTTCACACAGCCCTTGTGGTACTCTTACATCTTCAAAATTGATTTGTCTGCAGACTTGTTAAATTTTTTCATGCAAAAACGTTGTGAGCTGTCTGTTTGCCTTTTTGAGACACAGGAGGCAAACAACTTTCCTGTTTTCATCATGATTCCTAGCTGAATTGGGCATTTTTTCGTTTTTTTCTTAAGAGACTCAAAAATGCAACCTTCACAGATTTAGTTTCTTTGAAAAAGTGCCCTTTCCTAAAATTTGTCAATTTAAAATTAAAAAAATTATATTGCAAAAATCTATATTTTACCTTTGTTAGAAGTTTTTTACATTTAATAAAAGCTGTAAAAATGCAAAAAATAGAAATGCTGTCATTTCACATAAATGTGTAATAAGGGAAAATTTCAAAATTGATTTTCTTTCACGGACGTAGGCAGATGATTTGAATGTTTACATTTTTGGAACCTCATGGTCATCAGCTTTCACAGGAATATTGCGGTTTTCTCGGGTGCGGACGAGACAGTTATCGCCTATTTTTGCTAAGAGTGTGGTAAATAGCATTTTTCACAGATCTGATCAGGGTGTCAGCTTTACATGGGTATAATTTCTAAAAAGAATAACTTTAAATGAAACCTTAAATCCATTAAAAAAATTTTTTTTTTCACATGTTCCTTATATATACATCCTAGTTTTCCGAACCAGTATAAAACGGCTCTTTATCAAACCAATCCCTACCGGCACATCTAGTTTCTTTTTCGGAATTAAAACCTGTATAGACACGCGATTATCACAATCCAGACGTAAACCAAAAAAACGTGTATATTACGGTCATATTTATTCGAGTTTAACACGTATTTTTTGAGATTTTAAAATCAAAATTACAGGGTTATGCAAAATTATAAAGTGCTTTATGCAAAATTATAAAGTGCTTTATGCAAAAATATAAAGTGCTTTATTTAACAATAAATAAATGCCATCATAATAGTACAAGTCATTTTCAGAATCATCTAAGAATGCATAGGAATTAAAATACAATATTAAATTGTAATTAAAAATTAAATGACTAACTGGCTGAAAAACATAAACCAAATCAGTAACGTTTTTATCTAATTGATGCAAGTTTTTTAAATTAATGTTAAAAAATAAAAATTTAAAACCTTACATGGCAAGAAAAAGTCGAATAACGATAACTAAGGAAATTCATGAAACAATTATAAACATGTCTAATTCGATAAATAATCATTCAACCAAATACATTGCCGAAACTTTAAACATTAGCCAAAGTGCTATAAGAAACTGCATAAGAAATCATCAAGAAGGCATCAAATTTGCTACTAAGGGAGAACGCCACAAGCAAACAATCAAAAACAAAAATTTGTTGTTCAGTGAAATCGAAAATACTTTATTTAATACGATGGCAATAAATAATGAACTGACGCAAAATGAAATGGTAAATGAAGTTAATGCAGCAACTGGTATGGTAATATCTCAATCAACAGTATCAAGGAAATTGCGGAAAATAAATATAACGCGAAAAAGGCTTTCATTGGTTCCCGAAGAACGAAATTCCCCAGCAAATATTGAAAAAAGGGCCATATATGCCCGCCGTATCTCGCGTATTTCTAGTAATAAATTGGTCTTTTTAGACGAATCAGGATTTAATCAGAATTTGAGAAGACGATATGGGTATTTTCAAAAAAATGAAAAGGCATATTCCATTGTTTCCGGAAACAGAAATACAAACCGAAGTTTGATGTGTGCAATAAATATTTCTGGTGTGGTTGCTTATGAATTAAGAACTGGAGCTTATAATGCTGAAAGCTTTGAAAGATTTATAAGAAATAACCTGTGTAATTATTTCCGACAAAACCCAGACCATATACTGATAATGGATAATGTTCCATTTCACAGATCAAGAAGTATTATAGAAGTTTTAAATGAATTAAGAATAAATAGAGAATATTTACCGGCATGGTTTCCTCAATTAAATCCCATTGAGGAATTTTTTAGCGTGATAAAGGCAAGATATCGCGGAATAAAAGCTTTAAATAATAAAATTAATATTAGAGATGCATTGGAAATAATTTTTAAGCGAATGCGTGAAATTAACGAAGAATTAAGTGGATTTTGGAGATCAATGGAACGATGGTTGGAAAAAGCTAAACAAAACATGATTTTTGAATAAAGTAGTTGCTTAAATTAATATAGTTTTTTTGAAGTCTAAATGTTAAATGACATGAGCTTATATATAAATAAATCATATATTCGAACTTTTTTATGCTTTAAATGGTTCAAAATTTTCAAAATTTTCAAAATTCGATTCAAAATTTTGCATAAAGCACTTTATAATTTTGCATAAAGCACTTTATAATTGTGCATAAAGCACTTTATAATTTTGCATAAAACAATTTATAATTTTGCATAAAGCACTTTATAATTTTGCATAACCCTGTAAATGTCCCATTCTTTTATCAGTGGTTTCACATTCCTTACGGAATGTTTTTATAATATAATACTACGTTTACATAACTGTGAAACCATTAATATTTTAACTGGTTAATTTCACGGAATAAAAAACATTTTTGACACGTGTTACCGTAGAACGGGGTGACTTTGTTA